TTTTTTTCCGTTCAGTACAATATTGATTTCATTACGATTTTAAAGTTATCAGTAAAAGCCATCACCAGTACAGTGACAAAGTCAATTTATATTTTTTTTGTTTACTTTCTCTTCTTTTGTGCGCAGTGACCTGAGCTTCAACAAGATAATGGCTCTCACTGGTCAAACGATGTACGGATTGAAGTCTCTAAAGATGCTGTAAGTGCAAGTGCAATTGAATAGCCCTGTAATTGGCTTGTTTGGGTCATTACTGATAACACTCACCCTGCTTTGTTCTTCAACGCATTAGCCATTTGGATAACAATGAGTTGACCTGCATTGAGGATGACGTTTTTGACAGTTTGAAAGAACTGGAAATTCTGTAAGTATGACATTTGTTGACAGTTTACTTGAACAAAAACACTTAATTCTTACCTAATCATTCAACCAACAGATCGTTGAATCAGAACAACCTCACTTCAATTGGCTCGTACACTCTTGAAAGTTTGACAAAACTTAAGTCTCTGTAAGTGTAAAGTTATACTAAACAATCCTTTTCATTAACTAACAGTTTATATTTTTAAGTCGTTTGTCAGAGAATCCTTTGGCCTGCGACTGCAGTCTTTCCTGGTTGGCACAGTATCTGCGGACGCACACCAGACTGGCTCGTTCCACAAAGTGTGGTTCGCCTTTTTACCTCTCTGGAAAACTGGTGGCTGAGTTGTCTAAGCGCGATTTCAAGTGTAACACAGGTTGGTTGAGACTATCTGCGTATTTAAAAAGCACTAACTCACCACTTGATGCAGGTGACATTCTCTACGACACCTTCCTTCAGAATGATAGCCCCTCTCGGGTTTGCTCTATCAAGCCGCAGTGTCCATTTGCCTGTCAGTGCCAGGACGGCGTTGTCGACTGTCGCAATCGAAACCTCACCAAGATTCCTGACTTTATCCCCGAAAATGCCACTGAACTGTAAGTAAACTAATTTTAATCAGCAAGCAGATTTAATACACTTTAAAACGCTATAAAATATTCAGTATACGAAATACATTTAACGTAGACACAAAAGACAGCAGCAAACTCATCGGGCCGACAAATGCCAAAGAACTAATCTTATTATTTTTCCAAGCTGCCACTACTGATTCTGCTGCAGCAGCTTTCCACCAACAATCTCTTTTTATTCACTCAACTAGACTCCTAAAGTCTTTAAATAAAGCTTTAAAAGTTAAACAAATTTGCTCTTTGTTCACTTGTTTTAAAATTTAGGATTTAAATGCAAGCACACTCTGTTTTATTTGAAAAATTAAATAGCATAAAATTGACGTTTTATTGTTAAGAAATAAAGCAAAATGAAATTAATCTGCTAGATATTGTTACAATGAACGGTAGCAAAAATTTAATTTTAAAAAAAGTTTTTAACAACTAAAAACTTTTTTATTCAATGCAGTCGGTTGGAACAGAATTCCATTACTGAAGTGCCATCGCGAGCGTTTTCTAATTACCGGCAACTACTTCGCATGTAAGTGTTTTTCTCTGTCCACGTCATTTTTAATTACCGTTTTGTTTTTTTCCATTCAACCTATTTTACCATTTTTCTTCTTTTTTTCTTTTGCTGTACCACATCTTAAATCTTTTAGCGACTTAAGCAAAAATAATATCTCCAAAATTGCTGAAGACGCATTTCACGGCCTGAAATCGCTAAACTCGCTGTAAGTATTCTGTCAATTGATGCACACGGCGCACTTTGCACTTTTGTTTATTTATTGTTCAGCAAGCGCAAAGAGCACAGCACACGCCAAGCTGAGTTTTTGCCGACTTTTAATAATTTGCAAATACGGCCAATGCTTTTGTTGTACGCAGCAGTTCACTGGCTCGTGCAATTTGATAAACTTTGCCTTTTTGACTTTTCCTGTACTAAGATTTTTTTCTTTTTATAAGGTTTTTGTTCGGCAACGAAATAACCGACTTACCTGAAGCTGTCTTCAAAGGGCTCTCTAATGTGCAAGTGTTGTAAGTAGTACATTAAAACTGAACATGCTGTTCAGGTCATTGTGGCTTTGTTTCTAAATTAATTTCTTTCTGTTTTGTTAAGGTTTCTCAATGCAAATCGAATAAAATGTTTACGTCGAGGAATTTTTGCCGACTTTAAGAATCTCAACTTGCTGTAAGTGCATACTGATTTGAATCCTTCTTTGTTGTTTGTTTTCCCATTGTTTGCCACTTTTTGGATGACGTGCAGGTTTCCCTTTTTTGGGTGATGTCTGCGGCTAGTCCGATTATTTGAGAGAGAGAGAGTTAGTGGACAAGCACTAAGTGGTGCTTAATTTCTGTTTTATTATCACCACCGTAGCTATCGTCATTTTGTCATGACTCATGAATTACTACTCATCGCCTCAGTGGCAATTCTGTTTTCTGTTATCTGGTTAGCAGTTATGTTCAAGTGTGTGTGTATTTCGAACGAGCAGAAACTGGCGCGCAGTGAGTGCTCTTCTTTTTTTGGCCATTTTATGGCCGTGTTCTAAAGCGTCCGGAGCTCTTCTTCTTGGTGCATCTTCGGTGCTCATGTCGGCTCCTAATGGGGCGCCCATTGCGATGGTCGAGTGTATTTTAATTTGAACAATAACATTGTACACTATTATCGCATATTTGTAGAGCCAGTGTCCAGAACGGGAAAGGGGAAAAGAGAGTCCTGTAGAAAGGGAGGAGAACATGAGTACCACCAGTTCACTAATGACCGAGTGAATGTGTGCCTAATGCTTAATTTTAATGGTGGCCCGCACGTCATCATTAGGCTGCTGTTGGTGCTGGTACTGCTGTATCCTTGAGAAGCCGCATCCCGGTGCCATCTCTTGACGTCTCATTGATGGCGCCCATCTTCTAGTACTTCCTCTTCGGTGCTCCTGTGTTTCCATGTCCTCGCTTTTACCGGTCCTCGACACTTGCTCTCTCTCCTCTGCGACTCTGCAGCTTGTTATCATCACATCCGCTTGCATATTAATTGCCGCGCACTCAGCGAGCTCACGCTCATCGGGCACTGCACTGCGCCGGCGGTGCACTACTACCACCAACTACTACAGCCAGGCGTCAGCCATTAGTAAATTTGAATAAATGTACACATTTTAGCAGGCACTTTAGCAAGCGAGTAGTACAAGATGGTGAAGAGAAAGAAGGGGCTCTTCATTAGGTGGCGGTGATAGCAATACAATTACCTAATAATACCGAAAAGAAGTGAACAATCTGGTGCAAGCAAATATGCTTGCCCCTCGCACATACACTACACAATAATGAGAATGATGGCGCCAAATGAAATGAAATAAAGTCAGCCAGAAAAAAAGGAAAAAAGAGCACTGAAGACCATCGTCGTCTGCGTCAGTCATAAATAAGAGAAAAAAAGAAAAATGCACCGTAGATATTTAAGAGTGCCAAGTATCTCCATTTGGGCACGTTTCTTCGCATGAGCTCTGCTAGCATAAATTAATTAGCCGATAGTGACTTGCTCTGTTTTGTTGTCTGCTGCAGCAGTCTGCTGAGCCTGTTAGACTAATTGAATGCATACACCGGGCTCACACTGGGCGACCGTCTGCCGCTGCAAAAAAGGGAGGCCAATTTGAGAAAGCTCAGCCATTGATGCGCTCTCTTCAACGCACTCCAGACGGACACTTCACAACACCTCGTCGCATTAGCATTATCACTCAATTAAAAGTCATCTCTTCTAGGCGTTTACGTGGAGAACAAAAATTAACACACAACCCTACAAAAGCTTTATCTGCAGACTGTTTCGCCCTAATGAGCTTTGTTTTAAAAATGTATTTTAGACATCGAAAAACACAGCAATCTTGACTCGGCTTGCGTTTCAATTTTTGTCGAGGTGACAGTGTGCGTCGTTTGACATTGACAGTACAATGCACCAGTGTAAACCATTTTCAGAGAATCACTGTCCACTGATTCGGGTCCATTGTTCTGGTATGGGGCTCCATTTCAGCTGGCCACCATTTTCCTCTTGTCGCACTGGTCTCGCGTCGTTGCGTCTTCAGGCAATCATGTGCCTGATACAGAAAAAGCAGCATTGCTTATGCACATTGTCTTTCCCTCACAAGCACAATGAAAGTCCAGACATTCTTACAGTGTATATCTAAAAAGTGCTTTTGATTTATGATGACGATGTTAGGCAAGAAGCACAGACACACACAGACACAGTCTGCCTTTTTTCTTTTTTCCCTTGCCTGGCTCAATCATAGCGTGAAAATCATCTGCTACTAACTGTGAGCTAAAAGCAATGGCCGAATCAAGAATGCTTGACCATTGCCATAATTAATAACAATCGCATTGCTGGGCGCCATTATACTTTTTTCTCGGGCAATGGGTTCTGGAAATTCAAGTAGCAGAGTTTTTGTTCGGCAGTTTTTTCAATGCCTTGTTTGTCACCAATAAAAAGGAAAAGACACACAAGTGTTTTTGCTCTTTAGGGCCATGTACTAAACATTTCTTTCTTTTTTTGCAGATCCCTGTACGACAACAACATCCAATCACTGGCCGAAGGTATTTTTGACAATATGATCAATATTCAAACACTGTAAGTTGNCTGAGTTTTTGTTAGCCAGTTTTTCCAATGCCTTCAGTTGGTTTGTCACCAATAAAAAAGAAAAGACACACAAGTGTTTCTGCTCTTCAGAACCATATACTAAACATTTTTTTCTTTTTTGCAGATCCCTGTACGACAACAACATCCAATCACTGGCCGAAGGTATTTTCGACAATATGATCAATATTCAAACACTGTAAGTTGCGTTGGCGGCTTCCTGNTGTTGGCGGCCTCCTGGATGGCCACTAACACGTACGGCTGCCTTTTTGTTTGTTGAACGAGCGTGCTCATCGGATGCTTTTGTTTGTTTGTTTCTCTTTGTTTTTCATTTGCCTAATGTAGGCATCTGGGACGGAATCCATTCATCTGCGACTGCAACCTACGCTGGCTGGCGGAGTACCTGCGCGATCGGCCCACACTGGAAACATCTGACGCCCGGTGTGAGGAACCAAAGCGGAACAATCGAAAACGATTCGCCCAACTGCACCCGGACAAGTTCAGGTGTAAGGGGGCGGAGGAGTTGCGCACTCGNGGATGGCCACTAACACGTACGGCTGCCTTTTTGTTTGTTGAACGAGCGTGCTCATCGGATGCCTTTGTTTGTTTGTTTCTTTTTGTTTTTCATTTGCCTAATGTAGGCATCTGGGACGGAATCCATTCATCTGCGACTGCAACCTACGCTGGCTGGCGGAGTACCTGCGCGATCGGCCCACCCTGGAAACATCTGACGCCCGGTGTGAGGAACCAAAACGGAACAATCGAAAGCGATTCGCCCAGCTGCACCCGGACAAGTTCAGGTGTAAGGGGGCGGAGGAGTTGCGCACTCGACACGCCGATCAGTGCATGGTCGACAATAAGTGCCCTAAGCAGTGCGTCTGCGACGGAACCATCGTCGACTGCTCTCGCCAGGGACTGCACTCGCTGCCCGACGACGTGCCCACCTTTGCCACCGAACTGTAAGTATTCTAGTAGTGGCAAACTGGCAGACGACACTGCTTTTCAGTGTTTGCCGGTCTGCCGGCGTCCTCTTCCCGACTCATCATTAGCTAAACTCAATCGTGCCTAGGCGTCTCAACGACAACCGCATTGCTCGAATTCCCAACGCAGAGTACTTCAAGCGACTGTCCAATTTGCTTAAACTGTAAGTATAAACTGCACTGCACTTCTGCTGAGTTTAAAATATTGCTCACAATGTGTTTCCGTTGAAGTGATCTGCGCAATAATGAAATTGCCGAAATTGAAGATGGCGCCCTTCAAGGAGCAGACATGCTGCAGGATCTACTGCTGAGTAACAACCAGATGAAACAGATTAGACCGAAAATGTTTGCCGGCTTGCGCAACCTCACCACCTTGTAAGTTTTTGTTTTTAGTTTTTAATTTCAAAAACTAACTTTTTGTTTTGGCGTTCAGGCTTTTACAAGAGAACCAAATCACTTGCATCACCAATGACACTTTTTCCGATTTAGAAGCTCTGAAAATCTTGTAAGTATAAAACTTAGTTTTTAAAACAATTAAAGTAATTGTTTGCGCCGTTTAGATCANCTACAAGAGAACCAAATCACTTGCATCACCAATGACACTTTTTCCGATTTAGAAGCTCTGAAAATCTTGTAAGTTTTTAAACTTAGTTTTTAAAACAATTAAAGTAATTGTTTGCGCCGTTTAGATCAATCAATGACAACCGAATTCGGTGCATCACTTCTGGTGCTTTTGAGAAGACCAAACATCTCGCCCAGCTGAACTTGCTTTCCAATCCTCTCAACTGCAACTGCCATTTGCGTTGGATGTCGAACTGGCTGAAGCAGCACACCGTTATGGTTGGAAATCCCCGCTGTCAGTCGCCCAAAGCACTGCAGAATGTGCCCATTGATGACGTGGAGGCAAATGACTTCAAATGTGACGACTTGGAAGAGGAGGCGGAATGTGGCCCTGACGGCCTCTGCCCAGCTCGATGCACGTGCATTGGCACAGTGGTTCGCTGTTCGAGGCAGAAGCTGAAAAAGTTCCCTCGTTTCATTCCAAGCACCACCACTGAACTGTACCTGGACGTCAATGAGATATCAGCCATTCCCAATGAGCTGACCCTTTTGCCGCAGTTGACGAAACTCGACTTGAGCAACAACAAAATTGCCATCCTTCCGGCTCACGTTTTTCGAAATTTGACAAACTTGCAATCGCTGATTCTTAGCTACAACAAACTTCAGTGCATCAAAACTGACGCTTTCAAAGGATTGGAGTCACTGAAAATGCTGTCTTTGCACGGAAATGACATCTCGGTAATTCCAACTGGCTCGTTTGACAATCTCAAAATCACCCACCTCGCTATTGGAGCGAATCCTTTTTACTGTGACTGCCACATGCGATGGATGGCTGAGTGGATTCAGAAGACATACTCAGAAAGTAAGGAAAAATGTTTACAATTTTATTCTTATACTAAATTTTTTACTTTTTACAGTTGGAATCGCTCGTTGCACAGAGCCTAAGTCGATGAGTGACAAGTTGCTCATTTCAGCACCGCCCAACCACTTCATTTGCCCGAATGCTTCTGAGGCGAGAATCTTGGCCAAATGCAATGTGTGCTACACCTTTCCCTGCAAAAACGGCGCCACCTGCGTTGAAAAGCCAATGCTCGACTACAAATGCGAATGTGCTCCTGGTTTTCATGGACAGCACTGCGAGAACAAGATTGACGCCTGCTTTGGCAATCCTTGCGACAATGGCGGAATCTGCAAAATACTAGAGCACGGTCGTTTTAGTTGCCACTGTCCAATTGGTGAGCACTTGGCTAAATATTTCTAATAACTTCTAAATCTGATTTGTATTTTTTAATTGCAGGCTACAAAGGCGATCGGTGTGAAATTAACGTAGATGACTGTGAAGTCAACAAATGCGAAAACAACTCCACATGTGTGGACGGCATTGGCTCGTACAAATGCGAGTGCCTGCCTGGCACCTACGGCGACTACTGCGAGAAAAAGATTCAGTTCTGCTCAAAGGAGTTCAACCCGTGCAAGAATGGACAGTGCGTTGAAGTGGGCGACGGATACGAGTGCAGCTGCACTGCTGGCTGGACGGGCGCCAACTGTACGGTGAACAAGGACGACTGTGCCATCAACATGTGCCAGAATGGAGGCACCTGTGTGGATGAGGTCAATGGGTACCGGTGTGAGTGCTCCCTCGGCTACGATGGCCAGTTCTGTGAGAAGCTGCCCGAAGTGGACATGCTCTATCCGCAGACCAGCCCGTGTCAGCATCACGACTGCAAACACGGTGTCTGTTTTCTGCCTCCCGGCTCCTCGGACTACGTCTGCAAGTGCTCCCCGGGCTATACTGGAAAGCGGTGTGACGTCCTCTCGTCGATCAACTTTAAGAACGGCTCCTTCCTTGAGTTTGAACCACTGAAGACGAAGCCGTCGCTGAACATTACGCTAAAGTTTGTCACAAAGAAGCAGAATGGAGTGCTGCTGTACTTTGGCGAGGAGCAGCACCTCGCAGTGGAGCTGTTCAAGGGGCGAATTCGCATCAGTCTTGACGTCGGCAACTACCCAGTGTCGACGATGTTCTCCTACGAGACGGTCAGCGACGGCACATATCACCAGGTTCAGTTTCAGTTAGTCAGGAAGAACTTTACCATGAAGGTCGACGGGGGCGTTCCGCGCACTATTATCAACGAGGGCGTTCGTGAGTACCTTGAAATTCAAAACAGCTCGCTCTACGTGGGCGGAGTGCCCGATGAGGTGGCTCATTCGGCAGTGCGCAACTGGCACATCTGGAACTCCACTAGTCTTGAGGGTAAGTTTTTTGGGATTTTTGCCTGTTCAACTTTGGCGAACTTTCACCAATTGATTTTTTGTGCTCTTATGACTAGGTTGCATGCGAGAGTTCTTTATTAACGGGAACCCACCTGATTTGGGCATGGCCCGAAGTCAAAACCAAGTGAACCCTGGCTGTGTAGACTTTGACGAGGTGAACCACGCTTGCATGAATCACATGTGCCAAAATGGCAAGTGCGTTCCGTCGAGGGACGGCCAGAGTTACGACTGCAAATGCAAAGTGGGCTTCAGTGGACCATTTTGCGATCAAGGTAAAGACCTTTTTACAATGATGTATCACCATCTTAAACTCCTACCTTTTTTCACAGCACCAACATGCCAAAAGGAGATAAAGCGCGATTTTTACTACGAAAAGGCATGCAGATCAACAAAGAAGCTGAAGCTGGCCTCCTGTGTCGGCTCTTGTGGCGATGGGTGCTGTAGGGCGCAGAAGACCAAAAAACGGTCTATCAAGTTGGCCTGCAGTGACGGCTCCAAGTACACCAAACAGATCGAGGTGGTTCGCAAGTGTGGGTGCAGTCGCAAATGTTAACCACAGTTTGGCGGGTGGATTCGCAACTTTGATTCTCATTTGATACTGTCGTTTCACACTTCGGGCGCTTCACTTCATTCGGACCTCAACTTGCTGCGCCAGGCAGCAGCAGCAGTCCTTTTCTCGTTTTCTTCTCGTCACACACACACACTCACATCACGTCTGCATTTTCCCTGTGTTCTTCTGCGCGGCAACACGCCCGCCCTGTACATCTCCACTGTCTTTTTCTTTTTCTTCTTTTCTATCTGGCCACAAGCGACTCTCGTCGGACACTCTTTTTGTAAATGATACACCACTTGATCTACTCTCTATAATCTCTTTATCTCTTTTTCTCTGTCTACACCTTTCTACACTGCACTACTTTTCATTTGACCTGCTGATGATGATATCTACCAATTACCTCTTTTCTCTTTTTAATTTTTTTGAGTTGGTTTATTATTTATTTTGTTTTCATTTGCTTCTTCATTTTGTTTTTACTAATTTGAATATTTTATTCGCTTTTTACTCTGTATATTTTATGTTACCTTTTTGTAATATTTCGTCCACAAATATATTTGTATCAAATCACAACTGAGTCAACAGTCTGCTACAGTTTTTCTGTCGCTTCTAAGCTAAATTCGGTTATCATCTCGCACCATCTGAGCACCATACTCTGCAATCATTGCCGTTGCTATCCACGAATTGGCGTTTATCACTTGAGGCATTATAGAGCCGTCAATGACACGCAAATTGTTGACGTTCAGCACGCGCAAACGCTCACTGACGACGGCATTCGAGTCGGACATTGCCCCACAACGACAAGTTCCAGCTGTACAAAAAAAATAGTTATTTCTAAATTTGAAAAAGTGACCCAGACGTACCTTGCCGAAACACTGCCACTGATGTTTGTCTAATGAAGCAGCGAATGTACTGGTCACAATACTGCTCCCCAGTGTAGCAAGGTGTGCAACCAGGTACAGGAGGTAAAAACTTGGCGGTCATTGAAAAGGGGCCCACGTTGGTGATTCGAGTGAGCACCGTTCTGATGCCCTCCACCAGTGCGTCCATGTCCTGTGCATTGCCTAAGTAATTTGGGTCGATCAGTGGTGCGTCATAAGGATTCGTCGACGCCAGTCGCAGTGTGCCTCGGGCTCGTGGCCGTACGTGCTGCACATCAAAGCTCATTAGCCGTCGACCTGTCCGATGGGTAGAGCAGAAAGTGGGTTATAAAAGAAACGTACGTATAACTGCTGCAAATAATTCTCAATTTCTTCTCTCTCATACCTGAATAGGGCCCCCAGTAGTTGGCCCACTCTTGCTGATTGACGCCGTACATGGTGTAAATGCTGCTAATGTTATTCCAGCGATTATTGCTTCGCACCATCTCCGTCATTATGTCGGGAAAGCTGTTGTCATTATTCTGACTGGTCACCAGGTAGGTGGCTGCATTGGGGAACATCGTCAGGGGACCACGACCGTTGACGTAATAGTTGTACAGATTTTGCACAGTCAGATCGACTCGATCATAGGAGCGTGATTGATTGGCAACATCAAAGTAAAGAATGGTGTTACTGTGGTCGTGCAAATTATTGCCAACAGGTAAATTGGCCACCAATGGGATGCCAAAGTTGGACAATTGAGCTTGGGGACCAACGCCGGAAAGCAAAAGCAATTGTGCTGATCCAATGGTGCCGGCGGAAAGAATGACCTCCCGAGAGGCTCTCACTGTGTAGTTCATTCCAGCTCGGTTGAAGGTCACTCCGACTGCAGTATTGCCATTGAAAAGAATTCGAGTGACAAAAGCTTTGGTGACAATGTGCAAGTTTGTTCGATTGCTGTTTGGACTGAGAAATGCCGATGCAGATGTCACTTTGGAGCCATCTTGCTTTATGGTGTGCTGAAAGAGAGTCACTCCATTTTGAGATGGACCTTTGAATGGAAAGAGCCAACAAAAAAATCATAAAATTATTCGCTCTATTCTTCTGTAGTAATAAGCACTCACCATTGGGATCGATTATTCTGTAGCCTGCCATTTGAGCTGTCTGTATGTAATCTTTAAAAATCGGCAGCTCGTTTTCCAAGTTATTCCAGTTACTAGTAACGGTGATTGGTCCTGATGTATTGTGATATCCATTGGCGAGATAAGTTGAATCGGTTTCATTTTCAGAGCGGAGGAAATACGGCAGTATGTTGTTGTAACTCCATCCTCGACAGCCATAAACGTTTTCCCAATCATCAAAATTGCGACGATTGCCTCGGTTGTAGACCATTCCACCTGTGATGATTAAAAAACGGTTAATTTTGTTGTGCCACTAAATTATGCAAACTTACTGATGGTGGTAGATCCGCCTAGGATTTTACCCACAGACATGCGAACCGGCATTGAGAAGGCCTGACCCAAGTTTGGCTGGCTAACCATTGGGAAGTTCCAATCGACCTCTGGATTGCCAACAAACTCATAGTAATTGCTGGGGATGTCGGTGATGTCCGTGAGAGCGCCACCGGCTTCCAACAGCAGCACATTCACTGATGCATTCTCTGAAAGTCGAGAGGCGACAATGGCGCCAGCACCACCAGCGCCCACTACAATAAAGTCATAATTGACGTTCCAGCTGGTTCGGGATGCAAGATTGTTATGCTTAATCTGTCGCTGCAAGGACAGTATCGAGACTGTTAGCAGTTGGTAGGCTAAGGATGGAGTGGAAGACATGATTTGTATTGTGCACCACACACACTCACACACGCACAGCCATCCAAATGCTCATTGATAACTTGAATTTGGTGCTCTTTTATAAAAAGTCTCTTTTACCTTGTTTTGCAATGCAAATCACTTATCAGATGATTTATTTTATAGCGGCACCGTCATAACACTACCCGATTATTCATGCAGCTGCCCCTGTAAACAACTGCTTTTTCACTGCAAAAATACATCATAAGGGCCATCTATTTTGCTTTTCAAAACAACTCAAGTTCATTTATTGTGCAAAATTTTTCATGAAATAACAAAAAAGTTATAAGTTTGTTTGTAAAATGTATTTTTTTTACAAACGTTACTGTTTCAATTACTTATTTTTGTTGGCCTGAAGATGGCGGCATGTTTTGAAAAGCTGAAAAATCAGTGAGATCCGTTTTGTACAACGTTTTCATTGAGATTGTTTTCATTTAGGTGAATCAACAGATCGACTGGTCGTTTGAAGCGCTGGTTGCAGTGATTGCACGTTTTGCTGTGATAATTTTTGAAGTGTCTATTCACTTGTGCCCTCAAGTAGTGCATGTAATTGCAGCCTTTTATTGAGCACTGATAACCCAGTACAGTGTCATCTTCACGGACGTTTAAAGCAAACACATTTTCTCCTACTTTCTCCAGTTCCAAATTGTTGTTTTGCTTGAACTTTTCAACAAGCTGCACAAACTCGGTTTTCGAAGTAACCGGATAAGTTGCTTTTCGGAAGTTTTTTTCATATCGGAAATTCACACTCTGATCAGCAGACTCGCTTTCATTGTTGTTGGTTTCATGATCACTTGCCAAGTGATCATCACACTCTTCGTTTTCGTCGCTGGTATGGATGTCAATGATGGGCTCCATAAATCCGCTACTTAGAGGACTGAACAATGAGGAATTTTGCTCAAATTCTTCAAACTCATCGTTTGACTGATATGAGTCTTTGTGATTTAGTGATGATTCAAATTTAATTACATTTTGTTGACGAGTGTTGACTTTTTCCAAGTAAGCATTACTGGAGGTGTTTAATTCCTGTGCCAGTTTTAACAGTTTCTCTTCAAAAATGTTAATTTGTTTGAACTTTGTTTCCACTGTTTCTTGCAGACTCTTCACCTCACACTGGTACTTGTTGAAAATGTCAAGAAAGCTTTTTTGATTGCGGATCATCTTTCGAATGGCTCCCTTCTTGATTGTTCTGACGCCTTTTCGGGGAAAGCTCACGGCCATTGATGGACTTTGTTTGGCTCGGTAGATTGTTGGTGACATACCGATGCCTTTTTTGCTGTTGCTGTTCATTGTGGATGATGATATTCTTCCGATGTCGCCTGATGGGAAATGAATGGGTGCAATGGTAGACAACAAAACGGTATTGAGTGACGTAGATTTTGTTGATGTGACACTGCCGAGTCAGGCTGGGTAACACGATGGAGTCAGTATTGGTCAGACAAAGCCGTGCTCAGTTGGGGAGAGTTTGTGCACTGGCATGACATGTCACACAGTGCAATATAGCTTAGGAATGCTCAGCTGATATAGAAGTAAGTGCCGAGAAAGGACTCTCTGGCCAAGAGCAGTGTAAGCAGTGAGAGCGGCAGTCACTCGGAGAGGAAGCAGGAACCCCTGTGACATCGGAATCGGAATCACATCACTTCAGGGTTCTATATACAGCCGCCTTTTTACGACACTGCCGGTGAGCTGTGTCACACACACACACACTGGTTTGAACCTTATTGTGTGACGTCGCCATTGCTGCAGCCATCTGGTTGTCAGACGGAAATTAAATAGGCACAAAGCCAGGCAGCTAATTTGAAACATCCTTCGGACATTTAGGGCACTGCTGAAACGCTTCACCAGCTTAGGCAGCTGGCGTAAGAAGAAACAAAGTTACAGTTTAAAATTGATTTACGAGCTTTCGATAAATAAAATAACAGTGGTCTATTTTGAGACAGACGCTCACGCACACACACACCGGTTTCCCAGCATGAATTCTTTATTTTGCAGTCTCATTTAGGGAAGTGTGATTAGCCGGTACTGCTGCTGCTGCTTCACTTACTGCAAACTCAATCAAAAATGATGCCAAGCACAGCTACCACCACCACCACTACTACTGTCGGTGGACTTAATGTGCGTTCTGGTAAAGAGCAAGTGAAGGAGTGCCTCGTAGAGGAAGCAGCCTAATGCAGTGGCCACTCCAAATGACCAGAGGATGTAGACGGAGCGTAGGTCTGCGGGCGCCAGTACGGCCACTGCACTGCGTCCTCCGGAGATGATGCCACTCGTCGGATTGTAGTAGACGCTGGCGCCGGCTGACTTCCACGGCAGCCGGTTGAGCGTGCCGCTCAGCAGCTTCTCAACCAGTCCAGTCTGGTAGATGCGCTTGATTCTAGAGGCACAAAGAGGGAAGGGAGGGAAGAGAGAGTGAAGAGAGTAATGAGTGTGACAGAGTGTGGTGAAGACTGGTGTGAAGGACTCGGCGTCGTACACTCCCGCCCACCACTTACATCATACTGAAGGGTTTAACCAGAGGCGACTTGAGGGGAAAGATAAAGGACACAAAATCCATTGACAAGCTGTCTTGTGCCAAATGAAGTGGTGCTCGTGCGTAGACGTGGCGAATAGTGGCCAAGTACAGGCGACTGGCAATCATCGTCGTCCTTGGCCGTTGCTCCAATGCTCGGACTGCTTCCTCGTCCAGTGCTACCATTTTTTGCTGGGTTCTGGTGTTTTTGTTTGTTTGAGAAACAGTTGTGTGCTCTTAGTGTGCCCAAAGACCCTTGATCTACTTTCTAGTACCTGTTCATGTGCTGGCCAATCACGTGGAAGATGCCTCCTTCTGGGGCGGTTAGGAACATTTGCAGGTAGGAGGAATCTGCTATGGTTATCATGTAGCCTCGATCTGACTGGCTTAACTTTTGGATGTCAGCAATCTGATCTATAGGAAGCTCAAATTCAGGTAGGGCCAGAATACTGTAGAAGCAACCACTGTAGCTGTTGGAGAGAATGAGCACTGCCAGTACCCAAACTGTTATCAGTATTCTAACTTGCAGTACTTTGCCCCATTTCAAAGTAGTGTCTGTAATAACCAAATTAGAAATTGATAAGTAATGAGGAGGAAACTTGAAACTTCATTCGCCACCTACTTTGGCCCATGAAGANTATCAGTATTCTAACTTGCAGTACTTTGCCCCATTTCAAAGTAGTGTCTGTAATAACCAAATTGGAAATTGATAAGTAATGAGGAGGAAACTTGAAACTTCATTCGCCACCTACTTTGGCCCATGTAGACGGCAAACAAGTTTAGGGTAATTGAAATTCCAGACGGGGGCTTTCGAATGCTCTTCCATGTTTGTTTCAATGTCAAGTACAGAACGGCGGCAATGGTGGTGAGCGAGGCTACGATGCACAGCCACACTTCAGAGCTGAATGGACTAAAGACCAGCCAATCACGTGCTCGCAGATTAGGACTGCGCGACATAAACGTCAAGTCATCCACGTAAACCGGATAGGAGAAACTCACGACTTTGAGGCGTTCAAGTGATCTCGAAATAGCGCACAGAGCCAATTCGGAAGTCTAGATTGGAGTAAACTTTGAAATAAATGAGATTATAATGTTCTTTTTCACTATTCACTGTCACAATGTACTTTTGCGGCTACAGTGGTTATCTTTAGGCACAGGCAATCAAGTCCAAAGTTCAAATGCCAAGCAATCATGTGTGAGCAGTGCGTGAATGGAAGCATTGCCGTCATGTTCAATGTACTACTCACTACTCACACTGAAGACACTTGCCTTGTTGTACACTCTTCCTACTACACCGGTCCATTGGCCCTTCAAAAACATTCCCCATGCTCCCTTTCCATCAATCAAATTCACCCCAAAGTTAAACCTCTTTTGTAAGATCTTTAGAATTTCAGTTTCCATGGCGAATTTTATCACAGTCTGACCATTCTTCTGTGAAATGTCGCAGAATGGTAGTATCTATGCACCGAAAAATAATCACTTGATTAGTTCACTATAGAACGAACAAAAAATAAACTGAGAATGTACATTATTGTACGAAGCATTGATGATGGACGATTTTAAATTGCACTGTTCTGCAGGCATCTTTAACTGTTTGAAATGCTCATTTTTCTGAGGCACAAAAACTTGCCGCTCCAGTTTG